TTCCCGGATGACTTTGGTGGTCCAAAGGCTACTTCTGTTTAGTGTTCTGTTCTCATTTTTACACTGGTGATGTTTATGTTGGTGTGATCTTTCAAAACATTTGTGGACCCCTGTGATAACCTCATTAGACAAAGGACACCCCTGAAAGTCTGGGCCTCCTCCTGGCATGGTGGGGGGCAGTACCCCTACCTTCCTACGGGGGCAGTACCCCTCGCCTCGTACAGTCCCTATCGATTGAGCACACTAGCGTTCCAAAGGACCTTTTATCAAACTTTTTCACATTTATCTGTGTGCGTTTGTATACAATTCCCTTTGATCTTTCTGATTCTAAAGGAGGAGCTTTGCAGTTTCACTAACAATCTCACTGATGACCAATGCTCTTGTATGTGAAATGGCTTGGAAGCTATCTCTTAAATGCTAAACCATCAAGTGGGGTTCTGAGAGATGCCTCAGCAGGTAAAGGCACTTGCCACCAAGGCTGACAACCTGAGTTGCATGCCTGGGACTCACATGGTGGAGGGAGAGAATCATTGACTCCTACAAGTTGTCCTCTGGTCCTTCACACATGCACCGTGGCATACATGCTCTCTCTCTCTCTCTCTCTCTCACACACACACACACACACACACACACACACATGCACGCACGCACGTACGCACTGTGGCATGGGTGCTCTGTTTCCCTTTATCTCCCTCTTTTTCTTTCTCTCCCTCTTCCTCTCTCCTCTTCCTCTCTCCCTCTCTTCCTCTCTTCTCTCTTTCTCACTTCTCTCTCTCTCTCTCTCTCTCTCTCTCTCTCACACACACACACAAATGAATAAATGTAAAACCATCATTCCTTTAGTTTAGTAGTTCTCGTGTTTATTTTTTCTACATGGCAAGAAGAACCTAGCATCACTTTCAGCCTTTTGTGGGAAACCTAGCTAGGTTGTGGGCTGCAGTGGGCCACTTTTAGCTTCCCACCCATGTTGATTAGCCATTTTTCTGTTGCTGTGATAGAAACATCAAGACCAAGGGAACTTATAAAAGGAAGAGTTTATTTAGTTTACAGTCCAAAGGGGCAAGCGGGGGGGGGGCATGGTGGCAGAGGTGGCTGGAGTAGGAGCAGAAGCTATTAATCTTCAAGTAGGCACAGGAAGCAAGAGAGCAACTTGAGAACTGGCAAGGCTTAAGAACTCTCTAAGCCCTCCCCCAGTGACGTGCTTCCTCCAGGATAGCCACACCTCTCCTAAGACTTCCCAAAATTGCACCACCAGCTGGGGACAAAATGTCCAAAGACTTGGAGCCTATGGGGGACATTCTCATTCAACCCTCCACAAGGCAGCAGCACCACGAAGCTCCCTGCATTATCCTGCAGGTCCCAGTAACATATCCCTCACCTCCTTCTGAGCCCTCCCTTGCCCCAGCATCCTCAAAGTCCCTGTTTCCAGATGGCCTGTCCAAGGTACTATAGCCCTCAGCGGCCATACTCCTTGGTGTACAGAGCCCCACCTGCATTTTCAGGGGTTTGAAGGTCAGCATCACTTCCAGGCCCCCAGCTACATTAGGTGCCTACAGCCTCAACCTCAGCGTTGGGAGACAGTAAGTGCAGTTCTCACAGTCTTGGGGGATCAGGAGCCATAGTCTGGGTCCTTTGTGCTGGGCCTCAACCTGGCTCACTTTACAGCTCTGGAGGGGCCCCTAGGCTACTGTCACCCCCATGCTCACCTGGGAAAGGGCCCATTTCAGTCTCCATTGAGAAGGTGCTGATGTCTGGAGACATCAGTTCCTTGCTGTCCACAAGGCCTGTCACCACACAGGTGTGCTGTTCCCAGAACACAGGCCCAAAGAAAGAGCAAGAGGGTGAGCAAAGCCAAGGTTGGCCTATTTGCAATGTAATCAGGGAAATGACATCAAATAATTTTAGTCATATTTCTAAAATAAAGAGCTCTAATAGGTCAGCCACCCTCAAGGGAGGAGGGGGGTCACCAGGGTATAAATACTGGGAGGTGGGTGTCACTGGAGAATGTCAGGGACTGCCAGCCACATAGCAAAAAATCACTGTGCACTAAGAAAAAGGCAGATTGAGCAATGTTAAAAGCTGGCAAAGTGGGCGTGGTAGTTCATGCCTTTAATCCCAGCACTCTGTGAGTTCAAGGTCAGCCTGGTCTACATAGTGAGTTCCAGGCCAGCTGGGGCTAAAGGGAAACCCTGCCTTAAAAAGACCAAAAATAAATAAATAAATAAATGATCTCTGGTCAATTAAACATGAGGCTCTTTGGGTCTAATTGTTTTTATAAAAATACTAAGATAGATAGAACTGGTGGAGCACGCTTTCAATCCCAGCACTTGGGAATTAAAGGCTTGTACCACCATGCCTGTAAGTAACTCCCCAAAAATCATTCGTTCAAGGGCCAGGCATGGTGGGGGCACTTCTCACACATGGTACACTCACAGTCATGCAGGTAAATGCAGGCAATACATGCATACACATAAAATAAAAATAAAATTTTTTAAAAAAAGAAGAGGTGCCAGGCGTGGTAGCACACGCCTTTAATCCCAGCACTCGGGAGGCAGAGACGGGCGGATCTCTGTGAGTTCAAGGCCAGCCTGGTCTACACAGTGAGTTCCAGGACAGCTGGGGCTACAGGGAGACCCTGTCTCAAAAAGACCAAAAAAAAAAGAAGAGGGAAATGATGTCATTTTCACTGCCCCAGAGAACCCTCCACACCACAGCAACCCTAATCATCCATACTGAAGCCACAGCATGCTGGCTGAGTAGAAACATCAGTTTATACAGGGGCTCAGAGCATGGGACTGAAACACTTCCCCACTCCTCCCTCTTCCTCCCCCACCTCTTTTGTAGCTTGGCCACTTGCTGGCACACTCCCTAGTTGCATAGTGCGGGACCACAGTGTCAAGACCTGGGAAGGTCACTTCACCCCAGTAGGAGGTGCCTGCCTGGTCCATGTGCCTACAAAGTACTCTAAAGGTCCTATCTGCCCCTGGCGAATCCAGTTTGAAGTCATTTAGGCCTCCCAGAGGGGCATGCCTGACCTACAGCTATGTAGGAAAATCCACCCAGCATGGTGATACATGCCTTCAGTCCCAGTACTTGGGAGGCAGAGGCAGGCGGATCTCTGTGAGTTCAAGGCCAGCCTGGTCTACACAGTGAGTTCCAGGACAGCTGGGGTTACAGGGAGACCCTGTCTCAAAAAGACCAAAAGGAAAAAAAGAAAAAGAAAAAGAAATGATGTAGGAAAATCCTAGCAGGGCATGATGAAGCAGGACTTTTAATCTTCGGGAGGCAGAGGCAGGTGGATCTCGAGGCCAGCCTGGTCTACATAGTTCCAGGTCAGCTGAGGTTACAGGGAGACCTGTCTCAAAAAGAAATATAGGAAAATCCTGTATGTCTTTAATTTTGTGTATCTATACTCTGCCCATGTTTCTGTTTGTTCCTCTGTGTGTGTTCATGTGTGTACACCCAGAAAAATGCTTCATACTCACTCCTGAGGGTGGAGGAGCTGGCCTCAAGCTCTGTTCGTTCACCAGTCAGCCAGGAACAGCCTAGGATTCTCAATTGGAAACTTGGATCTGAGAGGGGGGTATTTGAGGTCATCCCAAAAGGCAGAAAAGTTTAGTTGGGAACATTTTCTTGGATCAAGGTCTGATATCCAGAAGGACTAGGACCCAAGGACAGGAGTCCTCCCAGAAGGCCTCAGCATAGGCAGGTGGAGAGTCAGAAGAAGCCACCTAGCTCTCCATGCTGGGGACAGCTTTCACTGCTCAGCGGGAACTTGATCTTGTTTTCCCTCAGCTCCAGCAGCAGGACTGGCTTTGAGCAAGACCCTCAAGTCAGGAAGGTGTTCCCATTGTCTGCACCTACCCCTCCTCACCTCTGAAACATCTCCTTGGACAGATGGCCCCCAGGAGGGCCAGCAAGATCTCATGTGTGTGCGCACGTGCATACACACCGCACGTATGTGTGAGCGTGCTGTGTTTTGTTTCAAGGCTGGCAAAGTGAGATTCCTGACCCAACCTGTTCCGAGGGGAGGAATAGTGAGGAAGGAAGGCTGGAGAGGTCAGCCAGCCAGCCAGCCCTCTCCAGGGCACATCTGCAGATGCCTTCTAAAACATGCTCTTTACATTAAGAAGAAAATCATTCTTCTATAGCAATATTATATACCATACAAATAAAAATGCACAGAGCCCTGTGATGCCACCATTCAAATAAACTTTCTTTAGCAAAATTAACTGTTTCAGGTCATGGGTATAGTTTTAAGCTTTCTTGTTTGTTTAGAAAGTTGTTCAAGTGGTTGTGTTCCTAAATTTGAAAAATACCTTGCAGGTAGAGAGGTGAAAACGTTCACCCCTGCACACATGCACAAAGGACTCAGTTCAAAAGTCAGTTTTTTAACGTTATCAAACAATATTTATAAATGGATCCAAGAAAAAGCTCCTGTGTTGTCAAAACTACGCAGAAAGATCCTTGCACACTTGCGTCACTGTTCAGCTATGCAGATATTCAGACAAAAAAAAAATCTGAATCTGAAAAACAAGAAAAAGCATTGGCTCCTGACAGCAATGTTGCAGAAAACACCCCACAGGGGCCCGGCTCACCCCCCTGGTTACCAACTTTTGTTTTCTGGCCAATAACTCAAAGACACGGTGTGTGAAAGCTTTAGGAATTAGGGAATGTGAAGATGGCTCAGTGGGGAAATTGCTTGTTGCGTAATCGTGAGGAAGTGAGTTTGAATCCCCTGAGCCCAGGTAAAGCTGGGCCCCCATTTCTGTAATCCCAAAATGGGAAGGAGGCAGGCAAAGCCCCAGGAGCTCGTGGCCTCTGAAGCCGGGACGTAACAAAAAAAGGTGGAAGCAAGGACCCAGACCTGAGGTCGCCTTCTTACCTCTGCACGCCCACACCCATCACACATGCGCATACACACACATACACACAGTTAAAAAAATGTTTAAGAATACCTTAGGAATTATAGGTTTACACATAAGCTAGAACGACACATGTTAAAAATTACCAATGTCTTAACTTTATTTCTAATGTAGGGATGCAAAAACGGACAAGATGCCAACTACAAGGTAGAGCCAAGCTATCTTTGTGTGCGCACACAGCTGTTGTCCACACCGTATCCGCTTTCAAACCAATGCTGCCTAGGTCATAACTATATTTAGGAATTCATATGGAGGAAAATCTTACTGGTGCGATTCAATGCTGTAAAGGAGAGGGAAACCCCTCCAGCCACTGACGAAAACTTGTCTTTAGTACGCACTCCTCAATCAATCCAAGCTTGGAAGCTGCGCTTTACAAAAAACTGGAAGGCGAGGGAGGGGGTTGAGTAACAAACTCTGATCGAAGAACAAGACTAATTTCTCTCTACAGGAAAATGAGATTTTTGGTTTCTTCTTATAGCACAGTCAGAGGTCACCAAAGATTGCACGATTTTCGTTTTTGCCAAATATCGAAGCGAGACACCCATTGTTTTGGGTTCACCTCCAGAAGTGGCCTACTTGTTCGGGAACTTTCTCATAAAAGGCACTGGGTGTGAATGCTGAGTTCAGAAGTCCCCAGAGAGCGGCAAGCACCGGCCGGGGCCAACAGCTGCGCACTAGCCAATGAACCTCTCGGATGGCCACGTCTCCTGGGCGTTGGCGGGGACGCGGGGAGCCTCCTCCGGCGGGGCCAGGGCCTCCATCTCACGCACCACCTGCGTGAACACGCGGTCCACCATCATCTTGCTCTTGGCCGTGACCTCCAGGAACGGGCAGCGCCACTCGCGGGCCAGAGCGCGGCCCTGCGCCGTCAGCACCTGGCGCTCGGCGTCCAGGTCGGCCTTGGTGCCCACCAGCACCAGCGGCACCGCGCGCGCGCCGCGCAGCCGGCCCATGCGCTCCCGCAGCGGCCGCACCGCCTCGAACGAGGCCTCGTTGCACACGCTGTAGAGCACCACGAAGCCGTCGCTGTTCCGGATGTACAGGTCCTTCAGGGTGACCAGGTGCTCGGCGCCCACGGTGTCCACGATCTCCAGCAGCGCGGGCGCCTGGTTCACCTCGATCACCTTGCTGAACAGCTCTTCCACCGACGGCTCGCAGCGCTCGGGGAAGCGGCCGCACGCGAACTGCGTGGCCAGCGCCGTCTTGCCCACCGCCACGCTGCCGAGCAGCACCACCCGGTAGCCCTTGGCGGGGCGCAGCACCAGACCCTCCATGGCCGGGGACGCGAGGGGACGCGGGGGAATGGCGCTGGAAGGCGGGCGCCGAGGGAGGGCGGGGCGCAGGCCGTGGGCGCGCGCACGTCGGCTGCAGCGCGGAGGGTGGGCGTCC